CTCACTATTCTCCTCCTTGGTAGTCTGCCAAAAGACTTTGGATATACAGAAATGGAGGAGAGGCAATTTAATAGTGTTTGTCTCCAGCCTTCTTTAAGTATCATCAATGTGAGCTGAAAGCTCTTTGGGACAAAATGCAAATCCCCTGAAACCATTAAAGGGTAAAATCCAATCTGATCTGCACCTTATACATAAGCAAACTCTTGAAGTCAAGGTTGAATTCTCAGGGGTATATTGAGTTACAGGACAACCCTGAATTGACCCTTTAGGAAAGAGGCAATACATATAATAGTGCATTTGATAGCAGGAATGTACTCCATATAAGCCATAGACTCTTGCTTGTAATTGAACTGCATGAGGGGTGGGATAGGAAAAGAGGTACAGTAGGTTTTAGAAAGGTGAACAGGGCATCTTTGGGAAACTAAGAAAAATGAAAAGAGAGGTATTGTTGGGAAAAGTGACATGATCTGCCCAACTGTTAACTCCTTTGTTCAAAAGTACATTGGTGGAAAGGCTAGGGAAAATAACTGTAATAAATGCCTTGCTTTGAGTAGGAATTTCTACTTCAAATTTTTTTTGAATGCTTAATCTCATATTTATTATGGAAATGCCAAAAACATATCTGTGGATAAATTTTTCATTAAAGGAAATAAAACAGGAAGCTGAAATGGTATCTATGCTACCAAAAGGTTAGCCCAGGTGCACCCTCACTGCTTATATGATCCTTGTATGATACTTGTATGAGATGACACAAGTCATGCCATCTCCCTGTGACTGTTTCCTCCTCTGTAGAATGAGAAGAGTAACAATTGTACTCTCTTTCATACGGTCATGAGGAGAAAAGTGCTTTGGCTATTTTAAAGCACAGTGTACATGTAAGGTGCCATATTATGTTGAAAGGAATACAGATTTAGAGCTGGAAGGGAAATCATGAAGGAACTGGAAGCTAGAAATCATGTAGGCCAACTCCCTCAGTTTTCACAAAGTGAATGCTCTAATAGTAGCCATCCCAAACTCCTATTAGCATTGGTAAGCTGCATCCCCAGAGGGTGGCTACCAAATCTTCCCTCAATGTTCTAGAGGTAACTCTTGAGGGGCTGGGAGTGACTTTCTAATGCTATAGCTTACAAGTCCTCAGTGCTGTGCTTCTTTCCCTGATTCTCAATTGATATCAATTAGGCAGCCAGATTTAATTTACTTTTAGAAATGAATATTAACTATAGTAGTATAATTTGTATAAACCAACCCCCCCAAAATGTGTATCATACTATTCATACAAGTACACAGAGAGCCCAGGCCAATAGATTTGGAAATTAAAGGATAACTGGTAACTCTGGGGAGAACAGTTAGAGTTAAGTGATGAAATCTGAAATTAGATTGCAAAGGGTTGAGAAGAAAATGAAGTGTAAGCACCAAGAGTAGATAGCTTCTTTGAGGCATTTGGCTGAGAAAGGGAGGAGATATGTAGGTATAGAGATATAGGAGAAGGTAGCTTGAAAGGATGGTAGAGTTTAGTAAGGGTTTTAAGGATGGGGAGACTTGAGTAATTTTTTCAGTCATTCTTACTCTCCCAAAGATACTCATCCAGTTTGTTTTCAGCTATTTGCTAATACACAGTGTTGCCATATTTCTATATATAAGAGACGTTTCCTTCTGTCTTTGACCTCTTTGGATATATGACCATTAATGAGATCAATCTATGTTAAGTTTTCTCTCATAATTCTGAACTGCTTTCCAGAATGGTTGGAGCAATTAATAACTCTACCAATAATTCATTAGTAAACTTGTTTTCTTTCCAAAACCCCTACAGCATTTACCATTTTTATTTTTATCATCTTTGTTAATTTGATGATGAAACCTGAGTTGTCCCTCTCTCTCTCTCCACTCACACATTTGTCACCCTGCTTCAGGCCCTTATCATTTTTCATCTTGACTACTGCAATAGCCCTTTATTTTTCCTCCATGTTTTCAGTCTCTGTCCATTCCACAAGGCTGCCAAAAAGACATTCCTAAAGTACAGGTCTTACTATGTCTCTTCTCTGCTCAGTAAACTTCAGCAACTCCCTTCAGGATCAAATATAACTTCCTCCATTTAGCATGTAAAGCCCTTCACAATCCAGTTCCAAAGTTCCTTTCTAGTCTCATTACATATTACGTTGGTCCGGCAAACTGGCCTTCTTACTCTTATTCTAACACAACATTCCATCTCCATGTTATTGCACAGGTTGTCTCCTCTCCCTTCCTCCCCCAACAATACCCTCTTCACATTTACCTTTTAGATTCCCTAGATTTCATCAAAACTCAGTTCAGATTCCCCCTCCAACAACTAGTGTCTCTCCCCAATTACCTTGCATGTATTTTATTTTATATATACTTATGTTGTCTCAGCCAATAAAATATAAGTTCCCTGAGGGTAGGGATAGCTTCATTTATGTCTTTGTATCCTATGGGATTACCTTAGCATAATGCCTACATAGTCCATACTTTAAAAATGTTTGTTGATTGATAAATTTTCATTTCATTTATTATTAGTGACTTGGAGCATAATTTTATAACGTGTTTGATAGTTTGGACTTCTTCATTCAAAAACCATTTACTTGACAAATTATTGTAGGATGGCCCTTATATGTATATATGGGTGCATGTATGTGTGTGTGTGTGTGTGTGTGTGTGTGTGTGTATGATGGCAGATCTTTATCAGAGAAAATAGGTATGAAGATTCCCCCTAGTTTTTTCTTTCCACTGATTTTGTTTTTGCAAAAGTTTTAACATTTTATGTAATCAAAACTGTGTTTTATCTTTCATGTTCACCTCTATCCCTTCTTTAATAATCCTCCTTATAAAGAAAAGCAAACTAGAAAGACTTGAGAACCCTGAACAATGCAATTAAAAAAACCATTATCCCAGAGTAACAAAGATGAAGCATGATATCCACCTCCAGAGAGAGAGAGAGAGAGAGACAGAGACAGAGAGAGAGACAGAGACAGAGAGACAGAGAGAGACAGAGAGAGAGAGACAGAGAGACAGAGACAGAGAAAGACAGAGAGACAGAGAGAGACAGAGAGAGAGAGGTGATAGTACTCAAAATCAAAATAATACAGTACAATTTTGGACATGACCAATTTGGGAATTTGTCTTGTGTGATTATGTATATTTGTTAGGAGGGTTCCTTTTTCTTTTTTTGTTCAGTTGGGGGAGGAGGAGAGAAAAATGCTTTTTAATTTAAAAAAATTAAAAATATTAGTCATATATATGAAAGGTATCCACTTTTATTTTCTTCAAAATTTTTAAATACAATCTTTTCTATTTCAGCTACCAATGTATTTGGCACTTACTGTGGTATGGTATAAGATGATGGCCTAAACGTAATTTCTTTTAAACTGCTTTTCAGTTTTCCTACCAGTTCTAATGAAAAAGGGACTCCTTATCACTAGTTTGTGTTTTTACATTCACTCAAAAGTAGGGTACTGTGTTTAACTGCTTCTGGGTCTTGCTTACTTTTTTTATAATACAATTTGAAAGGTAGTAATCCTAGCCCCTCTACAATTCTACTTTCTTTTTTCATCATTTCTTTGGAGACTCTCCATCTTTTAAAAGTTCATCCAAATTAATTTTGGATTTTGTTTAGTTCTACAAAGTAACCCCTTAGAAGTTTGATTGGTATGGCACTCTTACAGTGGCCCAGCCTAACCCTACACAATGAGCATCTTTAGGATTTTATCTTCTTTTATTTCTGTAGTACTTTGTAGTTGTATTCCTATAAGTCCTGAATGTGTCTTGTTTGTTGAAATCTCAAGATGTTTTATTTATTTTGTAGTTATTTTGAATGGAATGTAGTTTTCTACTTCCTGTTGGGTTTTGTTAGCAATATGTAAAAAGGCTGATGATTTTTATTGTAGAGCCTGCTACTTCAATGAAGGTACTGTTTTCATTCATTTTTTTTTTCACTCAATCTTTAGGACTTTCAGCCTCACAAAATTTTAGTATTGCAAGGGGCATTAATGGCAATTTAGCGGCCACCCATGGAATGTTCTAAGTAAGCCATCAAATGGGCAGAATATAAAAATAATCTTGCTTCTTTTTTATCTACTTTCATTGCTTCATTTTTTTTGGGGGGGGGAGAGGAAGTGTCCTTACCATCACCAACAGACATCCTTACTTTGCCCCTGATCTTACTGGAAAGGTTTCTAATTTCTCTGTTACAAATAATGCTAGCTCATGATTTTTATATTGATACTATAAAACATGTATAGATAGACTTTACTTATTCCTATGCTTTTTAAAATTTTTTTTTAAACATAAGGTGAGGTCTACATTTTGTTGAAGACTTTCTGCTTTTATGCCCAATCTGATTTTCAAAATCATCTCTTAATTCTTGTTTTGGGGATGGGGTGCTGAGCTTTTGAGCAAAAAAAGAAAATGTTATCCAATGGATCTTCTATCTGTTTTTCAGATGTGAGCCTGCATTAGTGGAGATGGCAAAAGGTGTCTGACCGAGGAATCAAAAGGACACAGACATTTAAGGTGGGAAGAGCATGTGAATTAAGGTGGCACTGGGAGGCAGGAGCCTGCAACCCTTGTTTACAATTTGAATGGTTCCAGTATCCTTTTAAATAGGCTTGACATAATTGTATAATGACATAAAGGTTATTTTAATCTATTTGCCAGTCCTGGGAAGTAAATTTGTACAAATGATCAAATTAATTGCCTATAATAGGGAATAGAGGAAATTAAATAAAATCTTTAACATCATTAGTATAGGCATTTTAAACAGTGTAATTGACCATAAACAATTTACGCCTTCAAATATCAACGTCGTCTGGTTGCGTACAGTGGAGCAGCCAGTTTATGTTGGAGGCAGAATTTGAATTCAGGTCTTCCTAAACTAATGTGTTTTGGCAACAACACGGCCAGGGTGCGATAAGAGACTTGCGGCTACTTCCCCGGCTTCCCGGTAATTTGGATACCGAAAGTCCTGGAGAAAGTGGGCGGAACCCGCGATCTCTCTCGATGACGTCACTTCCGTAGCGGGGCCAAGATGGCGACGGTAATGGGAGCGGGCGAACTCCACCAGCTGAGGCGGCGCTTCCAGGAGGAGGCCGAGTCCTTGCTGGGGGCCTCGGCGCTTGGAGGCCGCGGAGCAGAGGCCGGTAAGGTGTCCGCTAGGCCCACTCCTCAGAGCGGTACCTAACTGCCCGGGGTTGGAGGCGGGGAGGAAGTGACCAGTTCCCGGATTCTGACACAGGCTCCGCCCCTTTAGGGGTGACTCGCGCGCGCCCCTCACGTGCCCTTCCCCCGCCCATCTCCGCGGTGCGCGCGCATCTCCTCCTTCCCCCGCCCATTCCCGCGAGTGCGCGCGCGTCTCCTCCTCCTTCCCCCGCCCATCCCCGCGGGTGCGCGCCTCTTCCCTTCCAGTACGCCCCTCTCTTCCCGCACCCTCCCCCTGGGAGCGCGCGCCCACTTAGAGCCTGGGGCAGCGTGAGGAGGAGGAGTCGGCATCCACCCTGCCTTATAGGCCTGTGGGACATTAGAGCTAGGAGAAAGCCAGGCCGACAGGCGGGGAAACTGAGGCCCGGAGAGGGGCCTGGGTAGCAGCTGACCAAGTCTAGGCCAAGTTGTGTCCCAGAGGATGCTGGGAAAATGAGGGCTCCCACCCAGGATTCGTGTTCTGGTAATAGGAAAAGCCCGGTGCCCTGATGTGGCATTTCTAGGCCTTATTAATTGGAAAAAGCTGTGAGCTTGTGGATCAGAGTTCGAATGCTGGTGGATGACATCCCAGCCACTTTGGCTCCTGTTTCTACCACTGGCCTCAAGGGCTTGTTGAGGATTAAATGAGATGAAGTTGGGAAAGACCTTTGCCAGACTTAAAAGTGATACAGAAAACTGTAAATTTTTGTAGTCCCAGCAGGGTCAGGAGTGTGACCCTGCTTAAAATGTAAGATTTTAAATTCAGATGTTGAAATTAAAGCGCTTGGCTTTCAAATTTCCTGATCCATAGAGCTCTTGTGCCCATCCTTGACTTTCCTGGAGGCACCCTGTAGGAGCAGTGTGGTTCACTTAACCTGGGCTTTCAAGACCCTGGGTCAGTAAACAAGTATTAAGTGCCTCCTCTGTGCCAGGCACTGTGCTAAACTTTGGGGATACAAAGAAAGGCAAAAGACTGTTCCTGCCCTCAAGGAGCTGACTGTCTAATGGGGGAAGGCAATATGACGACAGCTGTGTACAAGTAAGCTGTATATAGCACAAACTGGAGATAATCAACAGAAGGAAGGCACCAGAATTAAAGGCTATTGGGAAAGGCTTCCTGTAGAATATAGGATTTGGGCTGGGTCTAGAACAAAGCTGCTGGCAAATGATCTTGGGCAAGCCAGTCAGTGAAGAGACTGGACTCTCGGATCCAGTAATGGAATTTTGTGGCTCCATGAAAACACACTGGCCTGAGAGTTTGGATTTGAGTCTTGGGCCTTGCCAGTCATTTAAGTGCCTATCCCTCAGTTACCTTGTGTGGAAATAGAGCTACTCACTTCGCAGGGCTGTGATGCGAAAAGTAATTTGCAAACTATTTTTCAGAAGGATGTGTGGTACCACTTCCTTGTGAGTCCTGCCCAGGAGGCTGCCTGAAAATAACCTTCATTTAGAGGATTAGTTTTGTCCCTGTGAATAAAGCAAGTAGACAGTAGGCAGCCAAACAGAGCATCAGGCTGAGAGTTAGTAAGTAGGTCAGGTTGCTAGTCTTAGCTCTGCTGTTAACTCACCCTGTGGTTTGGGGTAAGTCACTCCTTTGAATGTGAGTTTCCTCATATGTAAAATAAATGGATAGTACTATCTAAAGGCCCCATCTGACTAATGTTTTTTGAGTCTCTTGAACCAAATATGTTAAAGTACTCAAGTTCAAAAAAAAATTGTTTGTGGGAAATATGTAATAGCTCAAAGTTTCAGTCATGAGGAATCTCCCATAATCTTCTGAATGCTGAGGATATCAGGAATAGCTTTTGAAACGTCTCGTTTTTATAGACTAAACAGGGATGTGCTGGTAAATGTTTAACAACTCCCTGTTTAACTCCAGTTTAACAACAGGACACACTTTAAATTTAATTTGCATTATTAACATTTTCTCCATTGTTTACATATATCTAGACAATCAACAAAACAGTAAATCAAGCCCTGATTTATAGCATTTGTTGATTTCCGGGGTGTAAATGCTCACACTGAAAATTTAACAGTGGGCGGTCACATAAATAAGCTTTTGGCAGGTTGGTAGTGTATTGTATAGAGCACTCGATCAGGTAGTTGGTGATAAGTTTTCGGTTATATCTGAATTTTCATGATCCCATTTGGCATTTTATTGGCAAAGATACTGGAATGGTTTGCCATTTCCTTCTCTAGCTTATTTTACAGAAGAGGAAACTGAGGCAAACAGGGTTAACTGACTTGCCCAGGGTCACATAGTAAGTGTTTCAGGCTGTTTTTGAACTTAGGTTTTCCTGACTCCAGGCCCAACTCTGTATCCATTGTTCTACTAGCTGCTTAAGTCAGGAAGATCCAAGTTCCAATTTGGCTTCAGACCCCGTTTGCTAGCTGTGTGATTCTAGACAAGTCACTTAACGTCTTATTTGCCTGAGTTTCCTTAATTAATAATAGCATCTACCTCACAGGGTTAATGTGATGATCAAATGAAATAAAGTGCTATACACATTTTATTATTAGTAAATGGTTTTTAAGTTGGTCACTTATTCATTAAGCCATATGAATATTTCCTCATTCATTGAGGTATTATATATTTATTTTAAGAATTGCTTCTAATAGAATGTGGGGAAAATCCATTTTTAACGTATACTCCCATAGCTAAAGAATCATAGAATGTTAGAGCTAGAAGGAACTTTAAAATTCATTCAGTCCTCACCCACCCTTTGCTTGACAGATGGAACTGAACCCCAGAGAAGTGAAATTACTTGCCTAAGGCCACAAGGCAAGTTAGTGATCAAGCTGGGATTAGAAATCAGTGTTTGATATACGTTTTGCCCTTTAAGGTTCTTATTTGCCACAGGCATCAAATAGCATTTCACATTTTAAAAATAAGCCCATAGTTGAGCAAACTGAAAAGTTTTATTTTGGTAGGAAGAATAGACAAATTCTAATTTTTTTGATGTAATAGCTACTGTGGTTATACTTGGTGATTTTTTTTTTATCAAGGACATATGTGAATCTGTTTCATCAAAAGCTGTTCGATAAAAGGATTCTCCTGTATTTTCATGAGGCTGTAATGTATCTGAGTGATTTTTAAAGCTAAGTGTTTCTGGAAAATATTCCAACTCAAAAAGACAAAGTCAGGGGACCCCTTAACAGTATTCAGAATCATAGAATGCTAGACTTTAGCTGATAAGAACTTGGAGAAAATCTGGGATCAACCCCTCACTTTGTAAACAGGTCCCACAGAATTTGTGACTTGAGAGAGTTGTTGTGAGAGCCAAGACTAGAACCACAGTCTCCTTCGTTCAAGTCCACAATATTCTTTCCATTGACTCAGAATTTACTTTTTAAAAAAGCATTTCAGAAAGCAAGTAAGAGGAAGTTATGAAAGGGTTTTTGGGGTGATCAGAGTTTATGTTCTAATTTTGCCAACATGTTTTCTTCTATTTTTCTGAAGGTATCCAATATAACTGATATTAGCCTCAAAAATATTTATTTAGATGAAATGAGTCCAGTATTTTGAGAATAATATTCCTTTTCTCCTGTTTTTTTTTTCCCCTCACAAACATGTTTACATGTTAACAGTCTGGAGATGAGAGAGACAATCTAGGTTCTTTACCTGAAGTGATATTACTGTATTTTGTTTAAAATCAATGATTTGTTTCATTTTATGGAGTAATTGGACAAAACCTCTTCTTACTTGCAGAAGAATCTACAGCTGTTGAGAAGAAAGAAAAACCCCTTCCAAGACTTAATATCCATTCTGCCTTTTGGATTTTGGCATCCATTGTTGTCACATATTATGTTGAATTTTTTAAAACCGTGAAAGAAAACATACAAACAAGTGGGTAAGGAAATTCAGTTTCGTAAGTAAACATTTTAGTGAATCTGTTGCTTTATTTTTAATGTTTTGCTTTTGTCAACAAGTGAAACAGCATAGGTTCCTTTTGATGATCCCACTGGGAAGATTCCTGTATTATGTAGATATCTTTGGGTAAACCCGTTATTTCAGAACCACTACGTTTCAACTCTACTACAGCCTTCTAATAAGGATTCAGACTTCTGATGGATGATGAATTGAATCAACATCATTTTCCAGATGACAAAATAATCCCTAATATTTTCCCAGTAGAATCATTTATGATTATTAATATAAGAGAAAAAATGTGCTTCATTAAATTCACATTGCAGCTAATTTTTCTGTAACAGTGCATTCTAAAAAGTGAGGCATATATATTACATACATACATACTATAACATTATATCTTTATAGAGAAAGGGAGCAGACATGTGATTTCATAAGTAAGAAGGAATTCCTTGGGTAAAAAAACTCCCTCTATCCCTGCAGATCAGCACCTTTGCAATTTATGATCTTAGATCAGCTCTCTATCCATTTTACATGCTGCCTCTATATATCTTTTTCACTTCTGTGGTTTATTTTTTAGAAATCAAGATATTTTTGTTTAGTGGAATAAAAAAAGTCTCTAATAGAATCTAGGTTTTTTTGGTATTTTGGTTTTTTTTTTAATATATATAAGTCAAATTCAGTCCAGCAATTACTTGCTGGCATCTATGGAGAATATAGAAGAAATATGAAAGACAGTGCTTGTTCTCGAGGACCTTACAATCTGCTTGGTGAAATCTGACATGATTATAGAAGAAAGAATAATATGACATTGACTGATTTCCCGTTCTCAGAGATCATCTGTGAGCACTGAGTGCTCTAGGGCTTAGAGAAAGAAGAAGGGACGTGTGAGAAGGTTCTGTCCAGAAAAGTGTCAGAGGTTTTTGTGGCTGAGCTGGGCCTGAGAAATGTGGCTAGGCCATGAATATGGGGTAGGGGTTTGAAGATTGGACTTCTGAGAGGCAGAGGGAGGAATAGGTTTAGAGTCAGATGATAAGGTGGCATCCCCTTGGGAAAGTTGCTTCATCTCTCTGAGCTTCAGTTTCCTCCCTGTTAACAAAGATTCTTTAAAAATAGAGTTAAAAATAATTTAGAAAAACTAACCAATACATTGTGTCTGACTGTATTTAACATCACAAGATCGTAGTCCTTACTTTTACATTTTTTCAGGTCTTTTATGGGGCTGGGTGGTCATTAAAATTAGTTACTTAACATTAAACAAAATGGTTTGAGTTTTTTTTTATCTTTTCAATGTATATTATTTTAGTCTTTTTTGTATAATGTTTCTTTAGTTTTGTTTACTTCACTCTGGCCGTAACCAATATTCTCATCCTTTTTTGGTTTCTGCTGAATTTGACACTTTTCACCATTCCCTCCTCTCAAACACCTTCGTTTTCATGACACTTCAGTCCCTTGGTTCTCCTGGTTATCTAGGCTAATCTTACTCAGTCTCCTTTTCATGGTCACTGCACACTACCATCCCCGTCTGCCCAGTGCACCCAAGCATTGTTATCTTATGTTGCTTTTGAGTTCTTTCATGTGTTTATGCCTTGGCCTCCCAACAAGATTGCAAGGTTCTCAAGGGCAGAGTCAGTCTTCAGACTGCTTTATTTTCTCCAGTATTTTTTGTTTTTCTTTAATTGATAATGTATAGGAAGTGGTTTTGATTTCATGTTAATTGATGACATATTTGAAGTTTATAGCCCTTTGTTCACTGTTCTTTTTTTCCTTCAGGTGGCTTCTGGTTGGTATCAGCCTTTTGATCACAAGTTTAGCTATTGCATTTTACTGCATATTGTATCTGGAATGGTATTGTGGAATTGGAGACTATGATGTCAAATATCCAGTACTGATACCTCTTACAACTGCTACTTTCATTTTAGCAGGAATTTGGTAAGTAAGTTTTGATAGGAAACACAATAATATCTCATTTCTGGAAAAACTTCAAAAAATAACATAAAATTTTAAAGTAGATCTTTATGCCTCTCTTTTTTTCTGTATCTGAGACCCTGACATCTTATACTGCATTGATTTTGGTATAGTTATAAATTGTTAAAATTTGGAAACTGACAGAATTGCTATAACTAGCAATATTTGCAGGTGGGTCATAGGTAGCGGAGATTATGTTGAGTATGGCTGCTGAGACAACGGCGAAATCCGCTCTACGACATTGTGAGCTTTCTGTGCTGATGATGGACTAGCCACTGCAGGCAGAGAGAGGCAATCTGGGGTGGGGTGCAGACCACAGGGAGGAGGAAGTATACCTGGGATAAAGGTCATCTTAGAGCCAGGCCAGGCAAGGGAGGAATTTACCAGGATTAGTAGTGGAGGAAGTAGAGTTATATTGATCAGTTGTCATGGAAACCTACAAATTTCCATTTCATATATTGTAGCACTTCTTCTGTTTCCAAAAGTACAGTACTTGTGCTAATCATGGCAATGTAGTTGTTTTTCCTAAAATTTCTTTAGTGCCTTTTATTTTTTTATGCCAGAACCATTTTCCATTATGCCCTCCCTACAATCCTTAGAAAAAGTGAGCAAAACCAAGCAGCACAGAGACTAGCTATGTTTGACAGTGTCTGCAGCACTCTGTATCTGTGAGCACCTCCCCTCTCTACTGAGAAGGAAGTATGTTTTTCTTCTTCTGCTGAGATAACAGTTGCCATCTTCTTTTCATTCTTTACTATTTTAGTGGATCCATGATCTAATTAATGTGTGGGTACTCCCACTGTGAGTTTAGACACAACCTATCCATGTCTTCTCATCCTGCTCAATTCTTGTCCTATAAATTTTCAGTAAAGGACCCCACCCTACATGTTGGGGACCTTTCACTATGTTGTTTTGTTGTGTTTACCTTAGCTGGGGACCACCACAGTACGTAGGCCATACTTTTCTTTTTATATATTCCTAGCCTGTGTCCTAAATAGACCTTTTATACCACTTCTTGTATGTAAGCCATTGCTGATTGTATGTTGCCTTTTTGCTTCCATCATTTATTTCTGTGTTTCCCTTTGGGCCACTTACAACAATGATCCTTTAATTGTTGTAACATTTTCTATCCATGTAGTATAATCAAAAGCATGTGGTTGTTGAAAAAAAATGGACTTTTAGGTTTGGAAGCAAATTGAGATTGCATTGTAGTTTTCCACATGCAGTCTTTCCCCCTTTCTTCTGCTCAGCTCCAGGCTTGATTTGATATACTGCCTTAGTAGCTGTAGGCTTCATCTGTTAGTTTTTTTTCCTGTGTGGATTGTTAAACCAATCTTTTTTGAGTGGTCATAGATTTCATTAAGAAGCCCTTATGGTGTGGGAATTAATACCATCATCACGCTATATACAAGTAGGATCTGGAAAACCTTACTATCTCTAGGTAATCCTGTTACCATGTGGGACTGGGTGCAAGACACTTTCTTGAGATCAAAAAATAACTTTGATGAGCATGTCTCTTTCTTTTATGCCTTCCTTTATATTAATAAGATCATTGAATAAAGTTATCAAAACCATCATATGATCTTAACATATACATGGGAGATAACTTGTTGGAGGACAGTCTTTAAGATTGCATTTAGACTTATCAGATGATTTTTATAATCAAATAGTAAACACTTAGAGATTTTGTATGTGCTCTACCTTTAAGTCATTTGTGTGACTTTGAAGATGTCATCTTCTATAGAGAAGCCTGCCTCTTCCCTTTCGTATTTTTATCAGATAACCTCGATACGTGCATAACCAATTTTTATAAAGATTTTGTAGAGATAATTAAGATATTGATCACCTTTGTGTAATAATATCATCTGATATTTTTTTTTCAGTCTTTTAGTATGCTCTCTTTTCAGATATCTTTGGACATTTATCCCTTAATGTTTTCAAAATGTTTTGTTTCTAGAACAGATTTATTCTGGCTGTACCTGTTCTCGGTACCATCCCCTTTTCTTTTCTTTTCTTTGCTGAGGCAATTGGGGTTAAGTGACTTGTCCAGGGTCACAAAGCTAGTAAGTGTCAAAGTATTTGAGGCCAGATTTGAACTCAGGTCAGATTTGAACTGACTCCAAGGCCAGAGCTTTATCCATTGCCTCACCTAGCTGCCCCCATCCCCTTTTCTCAATTTCATTTTCTTTAGTGCCATTTTTACTTTATAAACATATCAGGGACTAGTAGATTAGAGTTCAAATATAGGTCCACTGTCTTTGATGATGAAAATAGTTTGTTGTAGAAATGTTGGCAAATTATATTTTGTCTCTTTATTTTCCTTCTTTCAGTTTTAGTATAATGTTTTTGGGGTGATTTGGCTTAGTGCTTTATGCCAAGTTTTGTACAGGCTCATTTTTTCCACTGGCACTTGTGACTATTTTTCGAGGTGATACTTAAAGTAATACTCTTCCATTATCTTCTATAATGTTTGGCAAGAAAGTTTATATTCTAAACTTGTATAGTCCTTAGCTGCCATGTGACTTTACTTTATAAAGAGATTGAGTGACTACTAATTGACTTTCTTATTTAATTTAAAACATAGAAATCAGGATGTTTTTCACATTTATCTTCATGTAGTATTTGAATTCAATTGAATTACGTATTTTAAAATTTCTAGTGGGAGAGTAGAAGCTACTTCTATTGAATGTTTGTTTTCTAAGCACCAATCTTAGCTAAGTTAGGAGCAACTCATCATTAGAAAGTTGGGCATAAGATGATTAATTTTATTGGTTACAGTAACTCATGAGAATGGTAAAGGGTTTTGTGGCCTGTACCATTGGGGGAATTTCTGACACAAGTGAAATAAAAGTTTCTTGAAGGAAGAGACTAGGAATTAATGAGTGTTAATTTTCATTATTGTGTTATCAATAAAATGATACTGAGAGTCACACTTGACTGCAATTAAATAAAAATTGCTAGGTGAAGTGATATAATTTTAACTATGCTGGGGGAAAAAAGTCAAACTATTTACATTTCCAGAGTGTAAAACCTTTATGCTTTTACCTGAGGAAGTCATCCGCTTCCTCTCTACAGAAGTACCATTTTCTTGCAAAGTTTTGGGGGGAACACAAAGTGTTAGAACTATACTTATTTACCCCACTGTTGAACATTTGGACCAGCTAGTATGAGGAGTATTCATTTTTTTGCTCAACATAATTCATTTGTCATCTAGTCAGATGGACCTCTGCAGGTTTTTGGAGTGTTAGATAGAGTGAAAGATATATTTCCACATTGAGATCTGTTGCTATGGTTTTAGGCGTGTAACTAAATACAGCCTCCAAAGAAAAGAAAGACATTTATAGAAGCTCACTTAAGGTAAATATTTTTGTCAATGAAGCCCTTTCAGTAGTTAGAGAAGACAGGGTATGAGATAACATACAGGGAGTATAAAACTGATTCCTTTTAGGGTCAAGACAATTTACTGCAAAATCACCCCTCCCCCCCAATCTTCAGGGCTGAATTAAGTACTTCTTTAACATTTTACACAATGCATTTCTTTTCCCTTTCTTTCACTAGAACCTCATCAGGACATGGGAAAAAGAACAGAAGGGAACAGTGGAATAGTACCTTTTGTTTCCTAGAGCTTTGCTGCCAGTGAAACTAATTGCAGTATATATATAAAATTTACTTGCATAGCCCAAAATTTTAGGGTATTGAATTATTTCATGTCTAATGTAATAGGACTATTCCTCTGCTGATAATTCTATCTCATAAAAATGTTATAGAAATAATTATAGTTGAAACATTTAAAAATTCTTTACAGAATTAAAGTTAATTTGTTTTCTATTCACTTAAATTTTTTTACTACCTCTATTTCCCAACATATCCTACTCCCACCCACCCAAAAAGACATTAAGTAAAAAAAAAAAAGGTTTTGAAAAAACCTTAATGCTAAGGGAAAATGTATTCAATTTATTTCTTGCCTTTTTTTCATTTCCAACACTTAGCATAGTTCCTGGCATATACTAAGTGCTTAATAAATGCTTTTTGACTGGACTGGACTGAGATGGGGAGACAATTAAGGCAGGAAGCCAATTAGAAGGCAATAATTTAGGTGAGAAGTGATTAGGGCCTGAACCAAGGTAGTAGCTATTTGTTGGATATTTTCAAGCAGTATACAAAATGAGGTCTTTTTTAGACACAACTTAAACTGGATTAAAAATTCCTTTGTACAGATATTATTCTAAAAAAGTGAAACCGACTCATTTTTTTCCTTTTCTTTTCAGTTTCAACATTGCCTTATGGCCTGTATGGACACTTTTCACTCCTTTGATATTATTTACCCAGTTTATGGGTGCTATAATGCTTGTCTCCCTCCTTGGCTGATATTCAAGGTAATAATAATTCATGAAATAGGAATTTGAAGCACCAGGTTAATGCTGTTTTATTTTGTGATATTTTAAGATTTGAAAAATGTAGCAACCTACTTTTGAAATGTTATTAATGGTCGGTTTCTTTTTAGATATTTCTGAATCAGGATGTGTGATTCAGGATGAGGAAGAGTGAGGTTTTCCTTTTGTTTATGTCTTTCAAGTTTGGAACAAAAGTATACCAATCAATTTGGTAGCCCTGTGGAGATAGATTGGTGGGGGAAGAGACTGGAAGTGTGGAGGTCAGTAGGAAGCTATTGCGGAAATGTAGGCAAGAAATTATGAGGGCTTGAACTAGAGTGCTGATTAGGTGAGTGGAGAGAAGGGCATGGATATGAGAGAGATTGTGGAGAGAGATCAACTGGACTTGGCCCCTGAAAATGAGGGAGGGTAAAAAATAAAGGGTAACTCTGAGGTTGCAAACTTGGGTGAATAGAAGAATGATGGTGTTCTTGACCCAAACAGGGAATTTAGAAGGCAGAATGGGTTTAGGGGGAAAGATAATGAGGGGTTTTTTTTGCTTGTTTTGTTTTGTTTTTGGTGAGGCAGTCAGGGTTAAGTGACTTGCCTAGGATCAGACAGCTAGTGTCGAGTGTTTGAGGTCAGATTTGAGCTCAGGTCCTCCTGACTCCAAGGCCGGTGGTCTATCCACTGTGCCACCTAGCTGCCCCTAAGATAATGAGTTTTGTTGTGGACTTGTTGAGTTTGAGATGTGTATTCCAGCATCCAGTTGGTGTGGTTTAGTAGGCAGCTAGTGATGGTAACTGTGTGTAGGAGAGGGATTTTGTTTAAATCCATAGACTTTTGAGTCATTTACATAGAGATATTAATAAAACCATAGAAATTGATATTCACTGAAAAAGGATAGAGGCAGGAAACCCAAGATAGAGCCCTCAAGTATACTTACTCCTAGTGGGTGAGACATGAATAGTGATCCAGCAAAGGCAACTGAGAAGATGTAGTCAGACAGGAGAGAACATTGTCTTGAAACCCAGAGAGAAAAGAATATCAAAGAATAAGGGGCTGTCAGCAGTTTCAAAAGCTATGTAGAGAGGTCGAAAATTAGGAGGCCATTGGATCTAGCAAATAGATCATTGATAACCTTGGAGAGAGGAGTTTTAGTAGAATGGTATGGGGTTGGAAGACAACAAAAGGTAAGGAAGTGGAGGAAGCCAGTATAAATGACTTTTTTAGGAGTTTAACTGGGAAAGGGATGTGGGACTAAAGCTTGAGGGAATGGCAAGGAAGTCTTCAAGAGAAGATTTTTTTTAAGCATGCAGGATGTGTGGGCATGTTAGGAGAAGGGAAGGAATCAGTTTATTAAAAAGATTAGAGAGAGAAGGGATGTATAAAGGGACGAGTTACTGGAAGAAATAGGACAGGGTGGGATCAAGGGCACAAGTAGAGGCATTGGCCTTGGCAAGGAGAGTGGCCACCTCTTTGTCAATGTTTAGAGAGTGGGAGATGATGTTGAGGAGTTTTAGGTTTATAATTAAGGAGAAGAGGCAGCTCATGACAGATGCCCTCTATTTTCTTCTTAAAGTGTAAGTGAGGTCCTTAGTCTCTCATCAGGGAGTGAGGGATATCTGTTATGGATGGCAGTATTGTTGTCTTGAAGAGAGAAGAGAAGGTTTGGAATAGCCATTGTATAGAGTGCATTAATTAATCAGAGAAAAATAAATACATTGCTATACAGTGTTGAGGACTCAGATGAGATTAGGTAATATATATTTGTGCTGGACTCGGTTGGCATAGTTGTCTTTTTCCTGCATTATTCGGCAAAAGAGTAGGAACAAAGAAAGGTGATGGTGAGGGTAACCTAGGTTGCAGCTTGCCAAGGCATGAGTGTGTTGTACCAGGTGATGGAGTTCTAGGGTAGGAGATAGAATTGAATTGAACTGGTTAACTATAGAGTTAAAATTATGTAAGGAGAAAAGAGCAGAGGGCATGGACTAAAAAAGCAGGGAAGGGTAGAGTGGAGCTCATGATGAGGACAGCTTTTACTCTCTTGAATAGTTAAAACTCTGGTCCTCGACTTGGGTACGTGTAGCAGGGTGGCTAGGTGCCTGATGTCTGGGCTATCAGAAGCTTTGAATAATGATGAAATTGTAAAATACTATTTTGAATATTTACGTTTTTTAAAAAACATCATAATTGATTTAAAATTCTTATTTTGGGGGGAATTTAAATGATGTCTTTCTTTTCGGTTTTAGGTCTGAAGCAAATGTGTAAACACTAATATGGATGAAGAATAAAACAGAATGTGGATGAAGAATGGAGCAAGCCATAAAGTATTTTTGCCTCTGAAAAGAGTTTCACTTGGAAAAGTGTTATAATAGACAGTTATTTGAAATCAAGATGGATTCTCTCTTTTTAGCACAGCCCTGAGCTTTGAGTTGTGGAATTGTACAGATTACTGTTAACATCTAAATGACTTGTTGAAAATTGCAATCTGAATTTTAATGAGTAGGGGAAAGTGATATAATTTAAAGATTCTAACAGGTCTGTGGGTAAAAGTGAAATTTATATTCTTGCTCTAGAATGCATTCCCAGTATTTTGTTTGAATGATTAATTTATTTCTGCCCCTCTTTGGGGGTAGATATGTAATTTTGTGTGTTGACTCCATGTATCTTTAAAAGAATTACATTGTCCTGTGCCTTTAAAACTCATTAGAGTAATTGTGGTATACTTTATTTTTACAATTTTTTTGTTAAATGAGAGTTCTTATTAAAAGTTGTGCTTTTTCTGTACCTCTTAATATTAAATTATTTCTTGTGTAAATGATTATGCCAAGTTTTCTGTATTTGTTTAATGTTAGGGTTTTTTAGCCATTTAAAATGAGTTTAATACAATTTTTTCTTAACATTAAATTACATTTTGCAAAGGTGCCTCTTTTTATTTTTTTAATATGTGTTTACTAATTGCGCATACCCTGGAATTTCGTCACCTTCTGGGGAGAAACCCTTCTAAGTTAGTTGGAGAAATGTTTAGGGATGCATTAAAAATCATTCCTAATTTAAATATAGAAATGCTGAAATTTAAAATATGGCTTTAATGTTGTGACATGGAAAAAAAATCCTTGATGTTTATTCTTTTTGTTGTGATAAATTTAATTCCACAAACATTATGAGTTTGGTATTGTCCCTTTCCCTCCCTTACCCAAAAATGAAATAGTGCTTAGCAAGTGCTCCCATGGAGTTCACATTTTATCCTTGGGGTGGGGGCGGAGGGTGGTGGGAAGCAATGTGTACACAAAGAACTAAATACAGGTTAATTTGAAGAGGAGGAAGTGCTGAGCCCTAAGGACATAGAAAAGCCAGAAGAGGCATATCTTATGTGAGGATAAAAATAATTACATACTTGTAGTGAAGCTCGTAAGATCTTAGATCTAGAGCTGAAAGAGACCTCAGCCCATTTGGTCCAAATCCCTCATTTTACAGATAAGGAAACAGAAGTCTGGGCAGCTTGTTGCCTGGTCTAGCATACATGAAGTCATTAGGTTGGAGTCAGACTGTAGAAGGTTTCAGCTTGGGGATTTTGCTTTTTATCCTAGGGAACCACTGGAAATTTTTGAGTATCAAATTAATGTGGTCAGACCTGTTGCTTTGGGAGGACATTTTGGCATCTGCTTGGAGGATGGGTTGGAGAAGGAAGTCTTGAATTGGGAAGACCAGTGAGGCTATTTTAGTAGTCCTGGCAAGAGGTGATTAGGTCTTAAACTAGGGAAGTGGTTACCCTGAAACAGGGTAGTGGTTATGAGTTCAAAAGAGATGAGAGATGGGGAAGTAGAATTGATAGAACTTGGTAACTGATTTGATATGGGGAAAGTAGAAAGTTAAGGATAACTCTGAAGATGTAAACCTCTCTGAGTAGGAGAATAATTGTGACCTTAAAAGAAATGGAGAGGTTTAGAGGAGGGACAGGCTTAGACATTTTGAACATGTTGAGTTTGGGATGCGTTGGGGACATACTTGGATTTCCAGCAGGCAATTTGATATGTGAATGGAGATAAGGAGAAATTAAGGCCAAATAGATTATATGGGAGCTGAAGAGGATGAGCAGTGTTTTACAGCACCCAAGCTTAAGGTGCAGGAGATAAGTGATCCAGCTGGGAAGACAGAGGTTAGACAAAAGGACTAGGAGAGAGCAGTGTCCTGAGAAGTCAAGGAGGAAAGGATGTCTAGGAAGACAGGATCAAGCAACTGTGAAATCTGCAAAGAGGTCAAGGAGAATGAAGATGGAGAAAAGTTCATTGTTGAGGTCATTGGAGGGTACAGTTTCAGTAGAGTAGTGACATTTTAAGCCAGGCTGTAATGGGATGAGAAGTGAGTAGGAAATGAGGAAGTGGAGGTAGGGCATGTAGACAGGTTTTCAGTGATGAAGTGTTTATTATGCACTCACTTACCTTGGTAGTGAACTTACATTGATAATGAAGTTGATGCATGCATTGACTCAGTGTTTGGGAGGCTCGGAAGGAAAGTGTAGGAGAGAAGATTAATGTGTTAGACTGACTACCAAACTGAAGATCTACAGAGCTGTTGTGCTGGTCTCATTGTTGTATGCCTGTGAAATGTGTTCAGTATACCAGCACCATACCAGAAAACTGAATCACTTCCATTTGAATTGTCTTAGGAAGATTCTGAAGATCACCTGGCAGGGTAAGATACCAGACACTGAGATCCTTTCTCAAACTAAACTGCCAAGCATTCAAGCTCTGCTTCAGAAAGCACAACTTCGATGGGCTGGCCATGTTGTGCAAATGCAAAATATATGCTTGCCAAAAGATTATTGTGTGGACAACTCACACACAGCAAGTGCTCACATGGTGGTCAGAAGAAGCAGTACAAGGACACTCTCAAGGTCTCTCTGAAGAACTGTGGAACTGATTTGTGACATGGAAGATACTGATACAGGACCACCCAGCAGAGTGTGCCCTCTTCAGAGATGGTGCTGTGCTCTGTGAGCAAAGCAGAAATGAAGCAGCTCAAGAGAAACACGAGATGTGCAACTTTAGAGAATCCACACCAAATGTTCGCCTGGAATATCTGTGCCTGACCTGTGGTAGAACATTCTGAGCTCATATTGCTCTGATCAGCCACACTCGGACACACTGTCACTTGACTCTAGCATAGTGATGTCATTTTGGTCGGCTTTGAGAATGAAGGACAATAACCAACCAGCCAATGCTGTACCAAGAACTTTGCTAAAGGTTGGGAATACAAATACAAGCAAAAAGTAGGGATGGTCTCTGCCCTCAAGGAGTTAACATTCTAATGGGGAAAGACTACATATAGAAAGGGACTGAAAAGCAAGTTGGGTTGGGAGGGGAAGGTACACGAGCTGGGACGAGGTTCAGAAGGAGACCGTCATGGACTTAAACAGGTTTGGAGTAAGCTTGGCTGTCATGGGTGCTTCTTCAAATAGAGATTTGGGAACTCACCAATCAGAGAAGACTAGAGGCAGAGGCACTGTTAGGAGATATAAGCCACGATATCATGAGGGAATGGCAGAATGAAGATTGTTAAGGATGGAGAGAATTGGGAATGTTTAGGGAGTCGGCTCATTATTTGATAATATGAATTTTTTGTGGGCCTGGTCATCTTTTTTAGGCAACCTTTAGCTGTATTCAGCAGCATGGAAAAAGGTAATTCACGATTGAGGTTTGGTTAAGGCAAGAAGGCAAAAGATTAAGGGACATGACTTACTAGCTGTGTGACCCTGGGCCAAGTCACTTAACCCTGATTGCCTTAACCCCCCAACCCTCCCCCCCGCCAAGATTAAGGGACATGGTAAGTTCAGTTGGTCAACTGTAGGGTAAGGACTGATTGAAGGGAGGTGAGATAGAGCAGGAGCATTGGAGGAATAAAGCAAGAAGGAATAAACTGGATGTCAAGTGAGAGGGATGGACAGGTTTAGGCTTAGCAGAAGTAAGGCAGAGGGAGAAATGTAAAAATGAGGTTATAATTACAGAACAATTTCACAGCTTGGGATCATGGAGATTAGTACAATTATGGGTGAGGTTGAGATTCTGTAAGGTGTGATCATCCTTTTGGGTGACTAGAGTGGGATGAAAATATATGTCGATGATATCAAACTCAAATAGAAACAAATCCCTGCAGCCACATATTGACTTATAAAACCACAAATTAACATTATGTTGTATTTTCATCTATCTTGCTAAACATTTCTCAGTTACATTTTCATCTCATTCTGCTTGCACTGGGGAATTGGCCAGTAGCTGTGAGTTTGACACTTCTGTTCTACATCATAGGAGTTGAAGTTGATGAATTTATAAGCTAGAGGATCAGAGGGAATATTAGTATACGTTTTGAACTCCCAAAGTATGAGGGCAGAGTGTGAGAGTGATCTGGAGGTCAGTAGTTACAGCAGCTGGGCTCAGTACTGGGTGATAACAGAAAGGCTTGGTAAGTCTCAGGAGTGGTTAATGATGGCATCAGAAGACACAGTCTGAATGTGGCAGCGGGGAACAAGGAGCATGCCCACTTCTGACACCTTGGGCCAAGAATGGAGGGGGTGGCCAGGGATGCAGGGTCTTCCAGAGGGAAGACACATTCCCAAGAACATGAGAATATGGAAAGAGTGTGAGAGGAAGAGGATGAAAGGGAATTTGATATGTTAATGATAGAGTGCCACAGAAGGCCCCGATGGAAGACAAAGGGCAGAGGAGATAAGGACTGAAACAGAGTAGGGCTGGAGTGGGTGATGAGTAGGCCACGCAAAGAAAAAATTTGACTTAGTAGATGGCAGTTAAATTACTAGGATTAGCAGAGGGGGTGGGAATTTGCTAACCATAGTATGGGGGGAAGTACTAGTTAACTGGGTAACCCACCTTCTAAGGTCACATGTTGAATTTAACTGATTTGAATGATGGAATGCAGTGTCTGTGATGGCACTGTGAGATAAGCCTTTTTTTTCCCCATTTCCAAACACTAGAGAACTAGGATGAAGGGGAATTTGTTCATTATAGAGGAAGGGTCTCTGAGGCATGAGGGAGGCTGGGTTGGACCACTGGGTCAGTAAATGGGGCCTGACAACTCATATTTAGTGCCAGTTCTTTTTCTTTATCCTCAGATCTCAGGGGTTGAATGATGCCCAGAAGATACCCTATAGATGGAGGATAGTTTCCATTTAGCCCTAGTGTCTGAGACAGGGTTCTTCTAATAGGTGCCTGGTGTGTGAGTGCTGGAGGGGAAAGGCTTCACACTCCTCAGATACAGGGCAGATTAGGTGCTGCTGTGCTTGGCTATACATTCCAAGGAAGCCTCAAACCCAATCTTAGGGAGGGGCCAGGGCTGGAGTTAGGACCCCCACTATCCTAGTTCTGGTTAAGGTAAACTACGGAGTAGGTCCTGGAGCAGGGTCTCAGTGACAGCCTTGGCTTCTGACCTAACTGGGTTCTAAGTGGTGATTGAGGGCTGAGCCCTTTTTCTTTTGTCAGGTGGTCCAGTGACACAGGGCCTCCACCTACTTGAAGTGATGACTTCTCCATCTTTTTAACCCAAGAGGATGTAATGCTGTCAAATGCCAGTTGTATGACTAATAGAAGGTCATTTAAACCTTTTACTTTTGCTCAATCTAATCCCTATTTACATCTTTACCAAAGGTTGTATAAAACCAAGGAGAGGAGATGAAATTCAAATCAATTTTATTATAGATAGCACTCTTCACCCCCACATGGTGTAACACACTGGGTTCTTGTAACACCCTGCATTCTAGAGATCTTCTGTCTACAGCAGAGTTTATCAGAGTTTGATAGGGTCCAAGGTCAAGAAGATTAAGGCAAATCATTAGACAGAAAAAATAAGCAGATCGGCATCAGAAAAGAGATCATGATCTGGCATAAAGAAAGTATAATAAACAGGAACGCAGAAGCTCAGAGTTAACTGAAGAGTATATAGGAAGGAGCACTGCATTTGGAGGCGGGAGAATAGGGTTCAAATCTCGGCTCTTCCCCTTATTACCAGCATGATCTTAAGGCAAGGCCTTTCTGGGCCTTTGCTCATCCTAAATGAGAGAGTTGCTCTAAATCCTCTGATTAAAAGGTTGCTAAATGAGGAGGAGAGATACTTGGGATAGCTATGGTGATGTAAGAAACCAAAAATATCAATAAAAACATTAAAAAAAAGTTGCTAAGCCCCAAGTCAGAGACAAGGAAGGCAGTAGGTGAGAATACAATGACAGCAATAGCACATACAACTTCTCTATAATTTGGGTAGTACTAAGAAGTCTGCCTTGCATGTTAAGCCCTACGCACTTTTCCATAGGACAACAGTTCTCAAATATTTTGGTCTTGGGACCCCTTTACATTCAGAAAAAAATTGAGGACCCCCCCAAAGAGTTTTTGTTGATGTTTTGTCTAATGAAATTTATCATATTCAAAATTAAAGTATCTTAGTATTATTATGAAAATAGCTGTGACCTTAGGAGTCACTGAAAGGGTCCCTGGTCCACACTTTAAGAACCACTGCTCTAGATGATTCTAAGGTTACTTCTAGCTCTTGCCTTAGTGAGCATTTCACACACACACACACACACACACACACACACACACACACACACCCCATTCCATCTTAGAATTTTTGAAAGAGGAGAGGATACTGGGGCATATTCTGACATGTACCCTGAATTTTAGGAGGATAGATTTCAAAGTGTTCAGATAAATGATTTCATGGTTTAAAATTGTATAGGGGAAGTTAACCTAGGAGATATGGGAGACATTAATGAACAAGATTCTGAAGACAGTCAACAGACCAAAACTCATAATGTGCTAGGTACCCTGCTAAGTGCTAGGCAAAACTAAGCCCTACCTTCAAGGAACTTACACTCTAACGGGGAGACAACAGTCAGATAACTGTACAGAAAAGATAGATGTAAGTGTATGTGCATACACATGTATGTATGTCTTTTTTTTGTGTGTATATATATATATATATATATACAATATGTATTATATGTATATAATACAGTATAGATAATAAATTGGAAATAAGAGAGAAGGCACAAGCATTAAGGGGGATCAGGAAAAGCTTATTAAAAAAAACCCAAAGGTACAGCTAGGTGGTGCAGTGGATAGAGCACTGACCCTGGATTCAGGAGGACCTGAGTTCAAATCAGACCTCAGATACATAACACTTACTAGCTGTGTGACCCTGGGCAAGTCATTTAACCCCATTGTCTAACCAAATTAAAAAAAAAAAGCTTGCAGAAGGTGGGATTTTAGCTGAGACTTGAAACCAGGGAAGCCAGGAGGCAGAAGTGAGGAAAGAGCATTCCAGGCACCAGGCATGCTTAAAGTTGAGAGTAGAGGGTCTTGTGGGAGGAACAACAAGGAGGTTGTAGAGTATATTAAGGGGAGTCAAGTGTAAGAAGATTGGGAAAGGTAGGAAGAGACCAGATTATGAAGAGCTTTAAAAACTGATAGTTCTGACAAGGAGGGTCATCTGTTTAGATCTGGAAGGGACCTTTGTTGTTGTTCACTCCTGTCTGACTCTTTGTGATCCCATTTGGGGTTTTCTTGGCAAAGATATGCAGTGGTTTGCCATTCCTCCTCATTCTACAAATGAGGAAACCAAGGCACGGGGAAGTGACATGACTTGGTCAAAGTCAAACAAGTAGTGAGTAACAGAGCCAGTAACAATTCCCTGATGCCAGGAATGAGCTAAATCTCGTGAAAAACACTAAGGACAAAATTAAAGCATCTTATAACACTAACATTTGTTGATTCCAGTGGGAATTTCAAAAGAAAATACTGCCAAAACCTTACAAAAATTTGTGGCATTGAATGCGAGCTCCTTGAGGGCAGAGACTGTTCTGGCCTTTTTTTGTATCATCAACACTTAATATACTGCCTGGCACGTAGTAGGTCCTTAATAAATGTTTGTTTCCTTACTGACTGATCTTTTCTCTACCCATTTTTCTCTTCCCCATCTTCACTCAGAATTATGCTAGCACAAATTTACCTTGGAAAGAAGCCTTTTTTTCTTTAGGCAATTGGGGCTAAGTGACTTGCCCAGGGTCACACAGCTAAGGAAAGAAGACTTTTCTTCCCAGCTCTCCGTAACTTTCCACCATTTCCCTTTAGGGATTGTATGATTAATGTATTACCTTGAAGTTCTCTGATGCTGCCTCATCACTGTTGTGCAGGTGACTGTGTCTTCATAGGCTGGGCCAGTGGACTTCAAGCTCTGACATGTTACCCAGCTGAAGAATCTTGGAAGTACAGGCCACTGTCTTGTTTGCTGCCCGAGGACCAGTTTAGCAACATGCAGAAAGGCTCAAGTAGACATCTGCTGGGGCAGTTAATGATTTATTGACTTGCTTTAATTATAATTTTTTCTTCCAAAAAAATAGAGAAATCAATGGGGATGGGGTAGAATTTCTATTCTATTCTATATCTTATTCTTATGAGAAAAAAAAAGGAACTGGTTCAGCTGGGGTGGAAAGTTCATGGCCATACCATTATAGAATTTGTGATAGATTGAAGAAGAGCAGGACACAGATTAAATGAGGAGGGTTGGAAGCCTGCTTCTGCTGCTTACTCGTGTGACACTGGACAAATCACTTCAGTTTTCTGAGGCTCAGTTTCTCCATCTGTGAAATGGGGATGCTTGAACTTGCACCTCTAAGGCTTGTGAGGACGAAATGAGACAATGCCAAGCCCTGTATAAATGCTACTTTGTGCTCCTGTCTTTATGTCCGTTAGTACACGTCCCCAGGCCAGTGGGTGTATAGTGGAAAGAGCAAATGGACTGTGAGTCTGGAGATTTAGTCTCCTTTCTCTCTTGTGTAGCTTTGAATCGATCTCTCTGGGCCTCTCCTGGCCTTTTTTTTTTTGTCATCTGTAGAATAAGAGACCTCACATCCTCACAAGAACCCTAGGAGGTAGGTGCTATTATTACCTTCATTTTACAGGTGAGGAAAAAGAAGCAGACAAAGACGAAGTGATTTGTCCAAGGTCACAGAGGTAGTAAGTGTCAGAGGCCAGATTTGAACTAGGTGGTTCTTCACCCCAGGTTCAGTGCTGTGTCCACTGCACCACCTAGCTACCTTAATAATGATGACTAGCATTTATATAGCACCTTAAGGTTTGCAAAACACTATGCAAATATTATGAAATAATCTCAGGTTCTAAGACTTTCTTTGCTTTGGACAGTGGGAGCATTTCCTTGTTTATAAGAAGGTCTTGGAGGGTGTGATGAAGGAGCTAGCAAGAGCTAGCCCTTTTCCCCCCCTCCAACACATATTCACTTGCACTTTCTTGTTTTTCTTTTTTCTTTTAAAAAAATTATTTTTTGGGTGAGGTAATTGGGGTTAAGTGACTTGCTCAGGGTCACACATCTAGCAAGTGTCAAGTGTTTGGTCTGAGGCCAGATTTGAACTCAGGTCCTCCTGACTTCAGGGCTGGTGCTCTATCCACTGAGCCACCTAGCTGCCCCTCTAACTTTTTTTTTAAAAAACTTAAAACACCCCCCAAAAATTTCCATATCCACATCAAACATAAAAAGAGAATTTTATATGAAATTGTGAACCTCCATTTTATATGGCTTTTTAAAAAGCTTATAACAAATTCCACATGTTACTTTTAAACTTGTCCTGCATTTTTGTGATTACTTTTGAACTTCTTTCTCTTCTATAAATATACAAAAAAAAGTTTCACTTTTCTGACATCTGTATTGCTAGCCCATGCTCTCCTTCCTATACCTCTCAACTTAAAAAAAAAGAGGGAAAAAAACCCCTTTTACTATGCATAGTCAAGAATGAATCCCCACAGTTGCCCTCTCCAAAGATATGTCTCTTTCTGTACCTGAGTCCATCCATCAGCTCTCTGTGAAGAAGTAGATAACATGTTTCATCACATGTCCTTTGAAGACATGGTTGGACATTGCATTGATCAGAGTTCTTAAGCATTTCAAAGTTGTTTTGCTTTGCAATGCACATACACACATTATCGTTATATACTATACACACACACCCATAGACATATTCTCTCTCTCTCTCTCTCTCTCTCTCTCTCTCTCTCTCTCTCTCTCTCTCTCTCTCTCTCTCTCTCTCTCTCTCTCCCTCTCCCCCATAGCCCCTTAGGCTGTGTCTTTCTGGCTGGATACTCCACTTTGCCAAACAACTGGAAAGTCTATCGGTCAACCCAGATAAGCCAGAGTCAAACAGACTTAAACAGGAACCAGGCAAACGTGTGAGGGAGACAGACAAAAAAAGAGAGTGGGAAGAAAGCCAAGAGCCTGATACAAAAAAAAGATTGATACAAAAGGCAGCGGAGGGTAGGGAAGGTAGCTATTAGCTGCCGTGTAATTATCCTTTCCTTGGTCGGCGGCTTTTATAAGCCAACGCCCGCTGACTGGGATCTTTTCTTCTCATTTTTCTTTCCCACTGAATTCGGGATCAGCGGTTGGGAGGCCTCCTGCGTCGAGGGCTGTAGGAATAGTGAGCCCTTTCTCCAGTCCCCTCCAGCACAGCGGACAGCGCCTCCATTCCCTCAAGGGCATTTGAACTGCTGGGTCACTGGCTCTGGGGTAGGGCGGGTAGGGGTGGTGGTGGCTCGGCTGGTGGAAAGGACTGAAGAAGAGGCCAGCTCAACTTTTCCTTCACGATTCCCAGAGGGTCTTCCTCTGCCTGCCAGGCATGGTTGCAAACCGCCACCTGCCCGTGTCTCCTTGGGGTCCGGCCGTCGCTGCGGGCCAGGGGCTGCACTGCGAGCAGGGAGAAGAGCTCGGGGAGCCGCCCCCGCCGCCCCCGCCAGTTCCCAGTCTGGCCGGCTATCCCCAAAAACTGGCCGAGGTGCTGAGCAGCCAGTACGGGCTGAATGTATTCGTGGCAGGGTTGCTGCTAGTGTTCGCCTGCGCAGTGCACGCCACGGGCATCAGCAAGGGCGACCTTCTCTCCTACCTCATTACCCTCATGCTCATTCAGCTCCTGTGGATGCTGTGGTACGTGAGCCGGAGCTTTACGCAGCGGAGGCTCATCCAGGAGAAGGACACTTACGCCGGGGCGCGCTGGCTCAGGGGTGAGTGAGTACTTCGCCTCCTTCTCCCATCCCGGGCCGAGTTCCTCTGCGGGAGGATGCATGGGGTGAGGGAGATGAGGGGATGGGTTCTCTGCCCCGCTTGGGCACACCGGGACGTTCTGGAAGTTTTCCTCCTACTTAATTATGCTTCAGAAGTACATAGGCGTTCGAGTTGAGAAGGACCTTAGAAGTCCTGTGCTGTAGAAATGGGCTGTGTTGTGTTGGAGGGGACCTGCGCTTGAACCCCTGATCTTCTATTTGACTACCTATGTGACTTTGATCATATCGCTCAACTTCCTTGGATCTCAGTTTCCTCGTCTGTAAAAGCCAAGATTGGTAATTTAAACTTCTGTTCAACACTAAATCTATGCCCCTATGATCAGCCCAAGGATTCTATGGATAAATTTCAAGAGTCATGTGAACTTGAATGGGAAAACATTGCATCTTTATTAAAATATATTTGGTTTCCTTTGTAAGTCTATGTATTTTATGAATTTAAAATCATTCTGAAAATGGGTCCACAACACAAACATGTTAAAGGAACCCCTGATTTAAACCAATCCTCTCTTTTTACAGGTGAGGAAACTGAGGCACAAAGAATTAAAATGAGTAGCCCAAAGGAACAAATACCAAACTATCATTTGAAACCAGGACTTAGTGCCAGTGTTCTTTTTACTACATTGCAGATTTATTCACTAGGACTTCTGTCCACCCACATGGCCTTTGTAGATGTTTTCCGAATTTCTGTGGCAAAAAAAAAATTAAAAAGTCACCAGCTTGTTGGCGTTGAGCTCTACACTTAGATTGAGCCTTGGATGACAGGGGAAGGTGTAACTTGGACGTACTAGAAACCTTTCCGGCAGAGTAGGACCTTGCCAGATTTTGGGATCTATCAGCAGTAACTTCAAAAACCCATAATCACCCGTATACAATAATAAGGCATCAGAAAAGAACTTTAGTAGAAATACTTTCTATTACCTTTGTTATAGTTCCATTCATATGGTATTTTATAAAGTGCTAGTAGGCAAGGAATTCAAGTATTATATTCCTCATTTCATTAGTGAAGGGGTTTGTCTTTGTCTGCAGTCACACATCTAAGTTAGTGACATAGGTCAACCCATGCCTTCTGGCTTCAGGTCTGGTGTTCTTCCAATATATCTGATCCTACCAGGCTGGAAAGGCTCAAGGCCAGGCCTAGGGATGGATTGCTGTCTGCCATCAGAAGAACAATCCAACTAAGAAGAGATAGACTCATCATCAGATGGATAGTCACTGGTGTGTGAGTGCGTGTGTGCATTTTCAGCCACAGAAAGTCAAGAAAACTCTATTAAGATATGAAAGTCATTACTTGCATCAGCCCCATAGACCAAGTTGTAAATTCATGAAATATTAAGGTATTCATCTCCTTTATTTATTAGTCTCTAATTCTTAACCTGGTTCTTAACCTAGGGACTATGAACTTGATTTTTAAAAATATTTTGATAACTTTATTTCAATATGATTGGTTTCCTTTTTAATCCCTTTTATTTTACTTCATGCATTTAAAAACATTATTTGGGTTTATAGGTTTCACCAGAAAAGGGTACCTAACATACAAAAGGTTAAGAACCTCAGCTAAAAGAATGATCTGGGGTGTGGAAGGGTGGTTTTAATACCTTACTGTGTTTTATATGTTTCCACCTTCCAAAGTTCTGTGTGTCATACATTCATTTTTAAAATTATGAGATAGAATGCCGGATTTATAGGACATCTTAATCACTTTAATCTTTGCAAAGAACTTTACGTATTATCTCATCTCATTTTATGTCCACAATAATTCTATAAAGCAGGTATTATTACTATCCCCATTTTATAGATGAGAAAACTGAGTTTGAGAGAAGTTAGGTTACTTGCCCAGAGTCACACAGCTAGTAAATGAGTAGGCAAGATTGAACTCAGGTCTCCTTGACTCTAAGTTTGTCACCCTATACCTAACTAGAATAGAGAGTTTATAAAGGAGAGCGATAGTAGACAAGGTCCCTAGTTTTGGAAAGTTTTAAATCCCAAGGTGAGGAGTTTGTATTTTATCCTAAAGGCAATGAGAAGCCAATGATGATTTTTTGAGTATATATGTTTGCATTTTGGGAATTGCATTTTGAGAATTTTAAATTTGGCATCTCTACGGAGGATAAATTGGTAAAGGGGGTTATAGGTAGGGAGTGTCATTTGCCTGTATTTCACAAGTATTCAGGTATCAGAAGCATTTGGGTGCATGGACATTTCCCCCCCCTACTTTTCCTCCACATACTTGGAGTTGTGGCTAGACATCCTTAGTTAATAGTTTACCTTCACTAGGTAAGCTTCTTAGGCTGGCCTTGGCTGGTGGCTTACAAGTAGTTCCTCTTTAACTGAAATGAATCTGAGTAAGAAAAACCAAAAATTCTTTGTAAGCAGTTATTATCTAACTTGGAGGAAGGTCAAAAGATTCCATACTCCAGGGATGTTCAAGGAAAAGTGTCTCTAATGGTAGCCATCTCCAGGGTGGGGAGGGGGGGAAAAAGGAGAAAAAGAAGAATTTACATGATAACTTGATTATATATTTAAAAGGAGTAGCAAGTTGTACATAATAGATTTAGTTTCATGTGCAATCATCTTTTTTAAAAATTATACTATGTTATGGAAATGCTTGTTTTATTCCATAAATTTTAAATTAAGTAAACAAATGTAAAAAAAGAAAGAAAAACAATGTTCTTGAAGGAGAAATTGGTCCATGGCATGTAGTTAAGGAAGCGTATTATTGTTATTTTTTTAATCAAAGATGAACTAGTCTAATTATTCTGGAAAAAACATTATGAGCTCCAGAACCCAACATAGACATTTTGCAGGTATACCCAAGGCATGGATGAATGGGTTAATGAGCCTATCTTAGCAGTGAGCACTGAAAAGAATAACTGGGAAACTCTAGTATGCTGAAAAACTGTGAAAACTCATCAAATTCCAATCCTGGGAAATTTAGAAAAGTTTCACGGATGATTTACTTTGAGGCCTCAATTGAAAATTGAGCTTCTGCTAAAACAGTATTATTCAGTGGTAGGTGGTACCTACTAAATTCGAAAAACTTGGTAGAAAGAAAATATATGTAAGTGTGACATAGTCTGGCATGGTCTGCTGTCTCTGAGCAGTTTTTTCTATGTACTGAATCTGTATCTCTATCATCCCTCTATATGCAATCAACTTATTGTGTGGCCATGGGCAGAATTTCAGAGCTGTGAAAGGAAACTCAGAGATCAGCTTAACTAAGCTGTAGCTTAACAAGAATAACCTTTGCAACGTAACTGAAGCATGATTATTCAACTTTTGATTGAAGACATATGGTGAGGGGAAAACTACTACTCCCCCTTCCCCACCCAGGAGGTGTATTCCACTTTTGGATAATTACAAAGTTACAAAGATTTTCCAGTATTGGGGTGAAATTTGTCACTCTGACACTTTTACTCCTCCTCCTAGTTCTTTCCACTGGGACCAAGTGGAACCATTGTTCCATCTTCATTGATAGCCCTTCAGGTATTTGAGGACAGATATCAAGTGAGAATTGTATGTAAGCTCTTTATAAATGTTAAAATGATGTATAAACGTAGGCTATCAGTATTATTATGTCTTTCCTAAGTCTTCTCTTCTCCAGTCTAAGCATTTCCTGCCCCTGGGAATTATCATCTCATTGTACGATCTCAGAGACCATCATCATCCTGGTTCCCTTCTTTGGAATGTGCTCCATTTTATTGATGGCCTGAAGTGAACACAACATTTCAAATGCAGACTAACCTGGGCAAAGTATAGCAAGATATCACCTCCCTAGTCTCAGTGACTATACTTCTTTTAATTCAGTATAACATTGCATTGACTTTTTTTTGGTCTGACATCATACCATTGACTCACATTGAGTTTGATGCTAAAACCTCTAAATATTTTTCAGGTGATGTCTAGCCACAGTTCCTTCTTCTTTTACTTACAAAATTGATTTTGGGAGCCTGAAACTTTACATTCATCCTTATTAAATTTCACTGTCTTAGATTCAGCCCAACATTCTAGTCTATTGAGATCATCTTGGATTCTGACTGTGCAAGTTAGCTTCTTCTAGATAGCTAGGTAGATCTGTAATCTGATAAGAATGCCACTCCTGCCTTTATTCAAATCATTGATAAAAATGGTAAATAACACAGGGCTAAGCACACATCCAGGCAGTATTCCTTTAGCATTAGTTTCCAGGCAGACATTGGACCATTAATGACTACTCTTTGAGTTGGATCATTCAATCAGTTCCAAATCCACTTGTCCTGTTGCCTATCCCACATCTTGCCATCATTTCCATGAGAATAGCAAGAGATTTTGTTAAATGTTTTGCCAACATCTAGGTAAGCTACAACTGACCTTTCCCTGGTCTACCAGTCTGGTAACTATCAAAAAATTAAATGAGATTGGTTTAGCATGCCCTATTCTCAATCAGTCTATGCTTTGTCTTTGGGTTTACGCTTCCTTTCCCAATGTCCACTGCCCATTCTTTTAATAATACATTGTAGTATTTTGCCAAGAATCAGTCAACTTCACCAGCCGGTAGTCTTATTCTTTTTTATAAAATTATTGCATTTCCCCTTTTTTATTTCTATTTCCCTTCCCTATTTCTGAAGTACTCTTATTCTCCAATATTGTCAATAGGTAAGTGAGAGTGGCTCAGAAGATAGGGTGGTTTTTTTTAAATTTTGGTACTCTATGATATAAGTTATTATGGCCTGCTAACTTAAACTCATCAGAGCAAGTTAGTTGAATATTTACCATCTGTCTAAAGTTGTGCAGAGTAGATTTGCAATTTCATGTTCAATCACTTTTTTTTATTGTACCATGTTACAGAAATGCTTGTTTTTCCCCTATAAATTAAAAATAAAATTTTTTTAAAAAAAGAAGCTAGGTAGTGTAGTGAATAGGGCCCTGGAGTTGGAGTCAGGAAGATCTGAGTTCAAATCTCA